GCAGAACTGTGAGCAGAGCTTGCCAGTTGTTTAAGTGGTCTCTCTCAATCTCAATTAAAAGAATTAAAATTCTTGGTGGATTATAGGTTGCAGCCATGACAACAAATTCCCTCCCTTTCTCTTTTTTTCTGGAATTATCTTGTAGTTCAGAGATGTTGCCGAACAAAACCCCTGATTTTTTTTTTCTTTTTTAAAACTAATGTTTCAGGTAATAGCAGAATTAAACTAAAAAGCAAAATAAATGGTCATCAGTGTTTTGATGACTGTATATGTTTTATGGCTGGTATCTTCTTGTGAAACTGGAAATCTCTAATACCACTGAACAAAATCAATAAGGCTTTTGTTCAGTGCTATTAGAGGGAATTTTACTAGCCTAAAAGAAGTGGGGATAATTACTAACAGGAGTTCTTGTGCAGTGTATACCTGTAATAGTTAAAGAGAAAGCTGCTTAAATTTATTCTGACAATTGCAGATACAGCACTGGAGGAATCATTTGAATTATTCATTCTGCAACAAGGAAACATCCCACTTGTCTTCTCTTTAGAAATTAAATCCCAGTCTGATTTAAAATATACTTTTATGGGTTGGTTTCTTTTTTTTTTTTTAAGTAATTTTACCATTTCAAGACTTCTATTATAATTACCTGTGAATGTACATTTTTAGAGAAAATTATTCTGATTTCTAAAAGAAAGCAGAAACTGATTTTTTTACATGAACTACTTCTTGTAGAACAAGTTTAATGAAATTCAGCTTTCTTTCATAAATAATGCAGCACTTGCATTTGATTAGGTGAAGCCTAGAGGAATTTCTACCTAATCAGATGCATAGCAGAAGGATATTGCCTGCAGACTGTTACCATTATCAATGGTGGTGGCAAGGAAAAGCAGCTCCATGTGTGTCCAGATAGAAAGCTTTGTTTCTTAAGAGAAGTTGCAAAATAAGGTATATGTGTTCCAGCAACTGATTCCTTGCGTCTCAGAGTGTCCTGGCTATTTATAAAACAAGGTCTGGGCTCTGAGTATTATCATTATTGTGGCAGGAAGAGACTTGAAGTTATCTGGAGACCTCCTTGTCGTGGTAATGGGTTTCTGACCCTTCCAAGAAATAAATCCATGTGGGGAAGAGACGGTCTTTGCATCAGAGAGCTTACGGTCAAAATAAGCAAGGTAAACATCAGGAATCATTGGGACCAATTCCAAAAGTCTTGAAAAACAGCACAAACCTCCTGATAACATAAAAATGGGGGGAAAAAAGTGCTTGTGCCACCATTCGTTAAAATAATAGATCACATACAGCAAAGAGCAAACCAATTTGCAAATGGTATATCTGCAAGTTTTGCAGAAACATTTTGAGAGTTCTTGAGTAAACGTTGCTTTAATTAGTCACCTGTGGTCAAGTTTTATGACGGTCTGTAAATCCAGCCGTGAGACTTTGTTCTACTCTGTTTTTAACAGCAGTGGGTGTGCATGAACAGAGGGAAGTTTGAGTAAGGCCATTAGTCCTTTAGTCATCATGCATATTAATAAATAAAAAAGGGCCTGGGCCTCATTCTCTAGCCCTGAGGCCAACTGGCATAAATGGACCTGCAAGCATTCAGTAAGTGCTTGTATCCTCCAAGAGACAGGGGCTAAGTCCAGGATGGCTTTTGGAACCAGATCCTGGTCTGGGCTCAGGCCTGGACCACTCCTGGGAACTATTTGAGAGTGGTGTAAAACAGTTAGGGATCATGTTAACAGTATAACAGCGTGGATGCTCGTGGGCTCAGACTCTGTCTCTGGTTACTTTATTAGAGGGGATGCTCTCTTAGGGCTTGGTTATACTCTGGGCCAAACTCAGTTGAGTGGCATCTGGCTCTACCACCATAATGAAGTAATACTCCAAATAAAAGCATGAAGGTCTGAACCCTAATGGCAAAGCCCAACAACACTGCCTTATCTCACTGTGCTCAGATTTTTCTCTTAATGTTTGTTCAGATATGTAAAATTGCAAATGTCGCACCTTCTTCAGGCCAGATGCTAAGCGAGTTTAAGCTGACAATTTGTGTTAGCTGATGTTCTGTTTTTTCACTTACATTTCTTGGAAAGGGCAATGAGATGTAATGAATAAATGTAAAACACAAGAAATAGAGCCCGGGATACATGGGAGACCTGCTTGCATCCTGTGATTTGCTGTCAAGAGGTTTTAGTGCTGAGCTCAGAAGTGTATTTATGAAGCTGCTGGTCAGAACTGTGCAATTTAAAGGTGAAATCAGTTCTCTTTTTTAATCTTGAGTTTTCATTCCTCTCCAAATTGGTGCAAGCAAATCTCCTGGGCCTAAAATGTCATGGGAGCACTAGAGGCCAAGAACAGAATTAATTTCTGAAAGTTTGAGAGCAAAACCATCAGGTTTAGGGCTGTAAAATGTAAATCTGTTTCTTACTTTTCCAAGAGTTGTCTGAAATACTTTTGCCTGCTCATAACTCAAGTGACTTCGTGTCAGATATTAGAGCTGGTTTTATGTGTGAGTACTGACAGAAGTAGTGCATGGCTTTTATCATAGCCAACTGGAAAGAAAGCCTCCAAAATATAACTCCCAAACCTTTTTTGGTCCAAAACAATGTCAAAATCCCATGGAAGAAATGAGAAACAAAGCTGAACCTTTGGTCATTTGCCCTAAGGTAGATAGGATGTTCTTTGCTCAAGATCCTGGTCAAGGTATCACACTGAGCTGTGTCCTGAGTACTGAAGAGCAGCCAAGCTTGATCCTTTCCATTGCTCCCCTGCTGTTGCTGTGGAAAGCATTTCTTCCAGGCTGCTTCAGCTGGGAAGGCTTAGCCTTGATGACTAAGTGGATATTAGGATCAAGGTCAAGACTCGACACTTATACCCTCATCACCATCTCATCCTTTGCTGATGCTTGTCCCCTCTCACATCCTGAAATGTGCAGGCTCACTGGGTAGCTTTAGTGACAGAAAGTGATGCTGTTTCTGTGCCAACTGCAGTCTAGCCTTGGATTTCCTACTCTTTGCTCCTCTGTGACAAGATCAAGTAGGGAACTCTTCAAAAAGCAGTTGAGCAGGGGAGTGCAGGTAGTGTGGGTGAGTGGACACTGGGCAATGCGCAGACACTTGAGATATGTAGACTGCACCTGAGAGCTTGCAGCAGGAGAAGTTGTGACCTCTGAGAGATGGGATGCTTATCTGTACGTGATGGATGTTGACAGAGCCTGCAGCCCTTTGTTAGTATGAGTGGTGGTCGCTACATTTATCTTTTGTCAGTATAATAGGTGAAGTTTTAAAAAGCATGTGGCTGCACCTTTGAACGCTCTCTCCTTGACTATGTGGCTTTGCATTCATTGCCCACTAAGGCTTGGATTTGGGCGGAAAAAGGATTTTGGGGCTCTTTTCTTACTTAGCTGTAGGAAGCATCCTGGGTTTGTCCCCGGTGTGGGTCCACTGCTCCTGGAGTTCCTTTGTATATTCCCAACTTCACCCCCAAGCAAGACCCTGCCAGAATCACTTACGCATGGTGGAGCAAAAATGTGACTGATACAAATGTTACAGCAGTGTATAAAGTGCTAAATTATTCATGGTACTTAAGCACAGAAAATCTCAGGGCTGAACTGACATAATGAAAAACTCCAGGAAAAAAAAAAAAAAAACAACAAACCAAACCCATGGAAAGTCTTAGATTAAAAACAGTTGCAAACTTCATAGTCAGACTGTATCATAGAGTCTTAATCCCTTCTTCTTCCTTTAAATGCCCCTCCTCATGCTGGACCCCGGGCTGTCGTAGCCAACCACTTTTAATGTCATTATCCGTATTGCTTTCCCATGAACAGGGACGTAAAGCAAAGAAATTTGAGATGACTTTTCCTGGTCCAAACCAGAAAATCTGTAGTGGTAGCAGGATTTGCAACTAGATCTTCTCAAACTGAAGCCTTGATGATCTTAACCTGCTTTCTCCCTGTCACAATTGAAGTGATCATCTGGAGGAGTTCAGTGGGGAAGCACCTGTGCACCATTTCATACCGGAGCATCAGACATACCCACACAGCTGGTCTCCCAGCTTGCCTGGGACCTCTGTGCTACTGTCATAGATTTATTTCTTTATCATAATGATCCTCAGTTTTCACCCATCCGTGACACAAAGGATCCTGGGTGCTAGATCTTACCCTGGATCACTTTCACCTCTGGAGTTTTCTGGTGAAGGACCTACAAATGACGATATTAATGTAGGAGCATGACTTTGAGAATTTAAGCAGCTGAATGGACCATGACGTGCTGCTTAATTCATGGAGAATTTTAACAGAGGTGCACTGGGCCCAGTATGTAGTGTTATAACTGAAATAGGTAGATGTAAAGATCAAGAGATCAGTTAAAAGGATAACCAAACCAAGTGGTAAAAAAAAAACCCCACAACTAAAAGCTTAGAGAATTCATACTGTTAAGCAGTCTGTTACCAGATTTTTTACTTGGTCCTGAAAACATTGTTCAACAGTTCATTTCAAGTTTCCTTTTGCACTTTATTATCACTTTTACTGTGAAAAACTGTTTTTCTTAAAAAACAAAACCAAAACCAAACAGCAACGAAACAGATCAATTTAAACAGCGTTGTGTTGGTTTCTGTACATGTCATAACATATTTCCATTGGAAACATATTTTTGACAAAGCAGTTCTTGGTTGTTTGAAAAACATTTTGAATAAAGACATTCAAGCTGCTTTAGTTGGTTTGCCTTTTGCTTAGAGGGTAAAATAGGCTTTCAAAGCTGTTCAGTGTTCCCTTTTGCCCTGGAGGCATACGGGAACCATAGGAGAAGATCTGATTTGCAATCTCTTTGGGGTTGAAAAGGTTCTTCAGTATTGCATCAGGACCTACAGCAAATGAAGGGAAAACAGTGTTTCCTAGCTGATATCCTTCGATTTACTGAGTGCCAAAGAGCTGTGGTGGCAGCATTAGTGACCTGAACTTTATTTGTCAATTAATGAATGTCTCTAACTTGATATTTCATTTTTCCTAGACTGTACCCTCGTCATGCAAGTGCTCTCAACAACCTGGGGACATTGACCAAAGACGTGGTGGAGGCAAAGGACTACTACAGACGGGCTCTTCAGTTAAACCCTCAGCACAATCGAGCTCTCTTCAATCTCGGCAACCTGCTCAAGTAAGTTGAATGCAGAACTGGTACCAAAGAAATTCACATTCTCTCTACACACATCACCAAAGCATTTTTTCTGCCAACTGGTAAAGGTAGTTGCCTTTCTTGTTGCCGGCCAAGAGTGCTGGCACGAAGGTGAGGCTTAGTTTGGATATCCTTATGCTGTCTGCCACATCACTTCAGGTGCTGTTTACATTTGTGTTCCAGCTGGAGGGAATTCACTTGTTCCAAATCAGGCACCAAAAAATGAGATTCCTAAACCCAACTAGTCGCCTGAGACTCCTGTCTCAGTGGAGAGGTGTAAGCCTTTCCAGTGGAGCAAGCCATCTTATTCAAAGACATGCATCTGATGCAGATCTAATAAATAACACAGATCCAACAAATCCCTCTCTGCAAGCTCCCACTTCTCCTCATTAGCTGTATGGAAGGTCAATGCGTCGTTTAGGCATAAGCACCTAACTCTGAGATGCTCAGAGCCGCAGAAGGTTCGTCCCATTGCAGAGGAACTGGGTCTGGATTTGAGGGGAAAGCTGGCTTACATCTCTATATGGTTACTCTGCTGAGCAAAAAACCAAGTTAATCAGTTCATAATTTCACTCATTGTTATTTAGAGTGTCAGCCTTTATCAAGGAGAATAGCAGACAATCGTAATCATGCAAATTAATTTGACTAACCATATCTAAAGACTGAACTTCAATCTACAGAAGCCAGTATGATAAGATCTGCTAGGGGTGCAATTAAAAAAATTAACATCTCCATTCCTGCATTACTATCTTGCACCAGCAAAGCCCCTTTGTTTTTGTGAGGATAGAATGTTATTTGCTGACAGAACTTCGTAAACTACAGCGGTAAAAGTACATTTTTGCTGATATAAACCTCCCCTATTTTGCTGGTAATAGGACTCTGATAAATCTATTAGAGCAGACTGAGCTTTAATGTTGGACTGGTTTTAAAGTGGCACTGTCTCATCAAAATGTACTTGATCTCTCTGGTTCTGAAATGTCACTTTGAATGTGAGTTTATATGACAGATATTAAGTGTATTGCTGAAGTTCTGCCTGGTCCGTTTGGTGGTGGAGAAGTAATCAGAATAATATTACAAGTAAACCTGATGGTTTTGGGTTAGAATATGGCAGCTGAATAGTTCTTAAATAGAAAGTAGATGAGTGCTTTACTGGAAACACTCACAAGAAAGGAAAATGGTAAAGACAGTCTTGTTACAAGAGAAATGGAAGGTCTTTGTATTATTCATCAAATTTGGTTTATTGAAATTAATCTTAGGTGGCAATGCTGTTTAAAAATACATGTTGTCCTTTTAATCCATCATGTTTGCCTTAGCTACCATTCTCCGTGTTGGTTTGTTTTGTTTTTTTTTTTAAATATAAAACACTAATACAAAAGGACATAAGCCAGAAGCAGTGCCAGGACATCCCGTGTCAATAACACTTAAATCTGGCCTGTTGATGGGCTCTTATGACCCAGCAGATGGATGGAAACTGGTTTTGTTGCACTGGCAAAGCACAAAGGAGACATGTGGGAAAATCTCTTAGAAATGCTGTTTGTTTTGTGTGCAACGTGTCATGTTTTTCCTAATGGGATAGTTAAGATATTGTGTCCTCTGTTGGACTGTACGTGCTCTGCATCCTTCTGTGGTGCCATTTATTGCAGTACGTTAAAGGTGTGTGATGCTTGTGCGAAACTCGTTAAAAGAAGGCGCTCAGGTTCCACCTGCCCTTTTCCCACGCCCATTTGCTCTCATTTTCTAGATTTTTTGGGGGGGCTTCCAAAACAACCTAGTACATCCAGACACACCAATAGCATTAATTATAATGAGCACTGGGTGTCCCAATGCCCATATTCAACTTTCAAAGACCTGTTAAAAAATAGGTAGAGTTCATGGTGGTGGGATTAGCACATATATAAAGCAGATGCTGCTCAGGCAGATCCTGTATGAGTGTCTCTCCTAAAACTCTAGCCCAGACCCCTTTGCCAGGACCTTTCCTGGATCATCCATCAACTCAGCAGAGATCATCAGCCGTGCTGGAGCATGAGGTGACTTGTGAGATGACCAGATGGGAACAAGGCAGAAATTTAAAGCTCCCCTTCCTACAACTTTGTCTTTGTTTATGTTTTCTACCTGGCTCTCCAAATTATCTTTTCATATATATGTATTCTGCAGACACTAAATGCTAGTAAAATCTAGGTAATAAACGGAAATCTGCAGAATGTTGCAGGCAGATATTACTTTCTGATTGTGCTACGAGACATTATGAAGAGCATTTTGATTTTTAAACATATGGCAGCGAGAGGATAAACAGTCAAACCATAAAAGCATTTTCTGTCCTCTGTGCAGAAGCTTCAGTGCGTGGTGCAGATCAGGAAGAGTCAGATCTGCAACACTTAAGGCATGTCCAATAACTGCACTGCTTGTACTGAGACATGTAACGAAGCCGTCTGGCATGGGCAATTCCTAGTTGAATTTTGCTCAGTTCCTTATACCCACCCCTGCTTGTGGCCTGGAAATCTGATGGCGGATATTAGATTTCACCTCCTCTGGAGTGCTGAGAAAGGGGAACTCCAGGATTTTGGAAGGATGGGTTTGCTATTCCCATGTGGGAATCTGCCTCTTATTATTCCCTGTAAATAAGCTCTCTATTTAAGCTTCCCGTGCTTGTGATTTAAGCTTGAGTAAAAATCTGTTTTGAGGACCACAGGGTGGAATTTTTAAGTTTTTTTTCTGCAGAAGTAATTGATGAAAAAGGATGTTTCCATTTTCTGTTTGCACGTAATGAAGACAGCTATGTGCCAGAAGATGAATGTTCTCAGGAAGCATTGCAGGGTAATGGCTGAACAAGCCTCTGGTTTTGTTTACATATCCTAAAATAAAGTTGTATGTCATCATTTTCTTGCCTAATATAAATATTGGAGAGTAGATAATTAAAGAATGCCAACAGATTTGTGAGTTGAAATAGACCCAAAAGATGGCCTACCTAAATGTGAGAAATCTCTTTCTCTGCTTTTGTGGTCTGTGATCAGTGACACAGAGCAGCCTGATGCTGCTTTCTTTTTGTTTTGATGTTTCCCATTATATAAATATTTAACTGCTCTATATAGATTCAGTTTTGTTGAGATGCAGCTTGAAAAACTGAGATAAATATCATTCAGAATACCTCACAAATTTATAGCCTGTGGGATATTCTGTAAAGAGACAAGAAATAAAATATTATGAACATTTGAAGGTAAATATTTATCTCGGCTTTCTGTTGCGGGACAACTGGGAGAGAACTTCTTATTTGCAGTACTGTATCTACCCATACCTAAAGCACTCCGATATTCGGTACGCTATTTCTTACGAAGAAAATCTCGTAACTCTTGCGTGCTTTGGGAGTGTTATGGCTGCATTTTCAAGGGGAAAGTGAAATGCCTAGGAACAAGGTCCACTGAAATCTTGAGTTTATTCAAAGAACTGATTCTTTTCCGAATGTAGAGTAACGCACGAGGTGTCCTGTGCGTTTGTTGCTGTGATTTAGTCCAAGTTAACAAACGCATCTATTCAGAGGAAGGAGGACTGTCTGCCCTCCCAGATACAGTCTTATGGATATGTACGTGTGTGAATGTGCTGACATAGGCTTGTGTAACTGTCTGAAGATGCTGAAAAACATCAGATAGATATTACGTGTATTGAGATTTAAGATCTTTCAGAATGAAACATTCCTCCCTTCCATTCAAAGAAGCAAACTGAGTGGTAACGTTCAGTGATACTGCATCTGGCTTTCTGGATGGTCTCCCATTAGGATACTCTGCGTTGCATGAAGTGCTGTAGTTATCTGTCAGTATCACATACACATTGTAGCCTGTTTATAAAAAAAACCCAAACAAACAAACTCTGGCAGTGTCAAATTTACAGTAGATTAAAAAAATAACTTAGGTTCGAATGAAACTCTGGAGATCATTTGGTCAAGCCCACTGCTCAGAGTAAGTCCAATTGGATCAGGTTGCTCAGGACTGTGTCCCCCTGAATCTTGAACACCTCCAAGGACAGAGGTGCCACAATCTGTCTGTGCAACTTGTTCCATTGTTTGACCACCCTCACGCTGAAAAATATTTCTCCTTCTATCTAATCAGAATTTCCCAAGTTTCCTATTTGTGTCAGTTGCCTCTCGTCCTGTCGCCATGCATCTCTGAGAAGAGTTTGGCTCTGGCTTCTCTGTATCCTCTGACCAGGTAGTTGCAGGCAGCACTGAAGTCACCCCTGAGCTTTCTATTTTCTGGCTGCATGCTCAGTACAGCTCACTCAGCCTCTCCTCAGTGAAATGGGTGCTCTAGCCCTGACTGTCTTTAGTGGCCCTCTGTTAGGTTTCCTCCATTAAGTCCATGCCTTTCTTGCACTGGGGAGCCCAATTCTGGACAGATATTGCTCCAGATGTGGTCCTACAGGTATCATATAAAGGGGAAGGATCACTTCTCTGGACCCACCATTGGCCGTGTTTGTCATGTAGGGTACATTACTGGCCCATGGTCAACTTGTTGTCCACTAGGACCCCAGTCGTCCCCCGACCTGTGCTTGTGCATGGGGTTATCCCACTCCGGGTGCAGGACTTGCATTTGCTTTTGTTGAACTTTATGAGGTTCTCGTCAGACCTGGTCCCTCTGAAGGCAGCCCTGCTTGCGGTGTATTGCCTGCTCCCCTACTCTGGCGTCACCCACATAGTATAGATGAATGGCAAAGGAGTGCATCTAAGTTATCTAAATCAGTTTCAAACCAGGGATTCAAACAGGCTTAGAGGCTTCCTTTCAGATAGGCAGAGTTAGGCACTGGAAGCTCCCCTTGGATTACGGCGTGAAACCAAGATGAGATGTTCAAAAGAGTTGTGGAGCCCATGTTGAGTGCTGTGTTTCTGTCTTTAATGCAGTCAAACTAACTTCACAAAGTAAAACAAATCGCGAAAGTTAAAAATTCCTCTAGAGCCCTAATTCCTAGATTACTCTTTCTGTTGCAAATTAAATTTACTCCAGTGCTAACAGCCCCTGCACAGCCCCATGCATCACCAGACTTCTGCGGGGTGGTTGAAGCTGAAGCTTCTCCAACTATGAGGCACTTGCAAAACCATGGAAGAGAGAGTCCTGGTGGAAAGAGCTGTTCGTTGCTCTCTGCTTGAGCACGCTGATTGTGGAGGGAAGGCTGGGAGCTTGAGTGGAAGAGGGAGTCAGGAGAGGGCATTGTAAGGCAAGGTAATTTGGGGAAAAATTGGATTAAGTGATCATAGACTCCTCGTGTCAGTTGAATTTGTTCCTCTCTCTGTCATAGCGAAGGTATACATTACCTAACTTTTCCTGCTCCAGATCCCCAGTTTATGGTAAATTAGTGTATCGGACTGTTCTTCCAATGCTCTGTGCTTTCCCAAATTGCAGGAGATTTATATAAGCGACGGCCTCGATCCTGAAAAGTGTTGGCCATGATCCAGGAAAGCACTTCAGCCAGTAATTAATTTTCAGCTTGCATACATAAAAGTTAAGTACGCGTTTAAGTGCTTGGCCAGAGCACTTGGTATCTTGCAGGCCTGAGCCCTCTGAGAAACTACTGGATCTGCTTTTTTTAATGTAATTCAGTCTGTCACATAAAAAGATGCCCTAATCTTTCCCTCTCTACCCCTACTTTCAGGAGACAAACATTGTTCTTGGATCAAACGAAACAGAAAAACAAAGAGATCTTTTTTTAAAAAAGAGGTCTTTTTTCAAAAAAGAGTAATTAAGAGGGCTGCCCCATGTTCAGAGTGCATGCTTGTGGTTAATGGGAACTTTTACTGCTGCTGAGTGGATCACTTAATCCTTTTATTTCTGTAGCTGGTATTTCCTACGTTTTTTTGCCAAACATCAATACCTTTACAAAGCAGTCATCTGGTTTTGATTTATAAAAATGTGTCATGAAACTCCAGCCAAGGGACCCAAAAGTTTTATAAATTGACAAGCTAGCTAGTCTTTAATTAGTGTAGGAGAAAAGTGGTTCTTTATTTGTTTTTGCTTCATTCATGTAATTTATGTGGAACACCACTAGAAGAAGAAAAAGACTAGCACAACTGGTTTTACTTAGCTTAATGCACAGACAAAATATTCTTCCAGTTACACAACTAGAAAGGGAAAAAATCTGCAAAGCCACGTATATTATCAGCTGAAATTTGCACCTTATAAACAAGATCTAGTTACTTGACCATGTCACTCAGATGAAATCTAAGGCCAAAGCGACAGGGTGTTCACATATTTTCTGTGTCCCAGAGCCCTTTGTTTCTTTCTGTAAGCCCTACTATTCATATTCTTTGTACACCCAACACAAGGAAAATGTTGTTCCAGTCCAGCTAAACATCCTTAGATGTTTATTCAGGAAACCTTCTCATTTTTCTTTCTCAGGAAAGAAATACAGAGCTATACTAGAGAAACTGTAGCTCAAGTAAATAAACATCCTTAGATATTTGTTCAGGAAACCTCTTCCGTTTTCTATGGCCGTAAATGCAGAGCAATGCTGGAAAAAAACTTGGCTCATCAACATAGCCATTTCTCAGCTATCTCTGTTCATAATCCTTAGGATCTGAAGAACAGGCTCCTCTAGCCTAATGATCGACTTGCCAAGGAATTATTTCGAGATCCCAGGCAGATTTAACTTAGCAATATTTTAATTTCAAAGTATTCATTTAATTAAGTCATAAGTGTGCAAGGCCAGGTTGGATGAGGCTTTGGACAACCTGGTGTAGTGGAGGGTTTCCCTGCCCATGGCAGGGGAGTTGGAACTAGATGATCTTTGAGGTCCCTTCCAACCCTAACCGTTCTATGATTCTATAAGTGGATCTATAACAGCACTTGTTGTCTAGGAACATGCAGAGACTCTGTGGGGTTTTTTTTCAGGAAATGCAAATGTTTTGGTGTCCCCAACCTAGTGATGCGAGAGCAGGGTTGGTGAGAACAAACGTCCTGTTCCCAGGTCAGTCAGGGTCTCAGTGACATGACTGGGGCCAGACCTCCCGAAGCCAACAGCAAACCCAAAGCTGACTGCAAACCCGGTGTTATCCCAGCAGCATCCCTTCCCTTAGGGCATGCGACTCCCCGAGAACATCGATGGGAGGGTCTTGTGCAGTACTTCATGCCTGGGGACACTTTGCTATCTCGTCCTTTAACTCCTGATGGGATGAATGGGGCAGAATTTTATGTATTTGCCATAAAGAGAAATATCAAGAGGAGGTGTACAGTAGGACTGGAGAAGTTTACAAAATCTAGTGGTGATGACTCAACAGACAGCACATGTGGCCTGTACAGCTTGCCTGATGGCCAAAATAAAATACTTCTTGCTCTTCAGTGTGTGAGGATGAGGAATGCACTGTTTTTTGGGGGTGTTTTGTCGTCACTGGGATCATTGCGTAGGCCTCAGTGTGACAGCCACTAGAATAGCAGACTGAATAGTGGGTTCATTAAAGCCTATGTCCTCCCAGCTCCTGAGAATAGCATATTGTTGCTCACCAGCCTGGGCTGCGGCTCCAAGGATGTCGTTGCATCTTCCACAGCCAGGAGGAAATGGCCCGCCTTTTGTAGGCAGGGTTTAAACCTTATTTAATTAGTTAATTACATTCAATTCAATTCAAGCCAGCTGGGTAATAATAATTGGATGCCATAGCATATAGCCTGATGATTGACTTGCTAAGGAATTATTTAGAGATCCCAGGCAGATTTAACTTAGCAAAATTTTAATTTCAAAGTATTCATTTAATTAAGTCATAAGTGTGCAAAGCCAGGTTGGATGAGGCTTTGGGTAACCTGGTGTAGTGGAGGATTTCTCTGCCCATGGCAGGGGGTTGGAACTAGATGATCTTTGAGGTCCCTTCCAACCCAAACCATTCTATGATTCTATGATGTGGAAACAGCAATGGGCTGAGGAGCTTCTGGGTGCACACAGAGGAGGCACAAGGGAATCATTTTGTCTTCATTGAAAAGGTCAAGCCGGGGACTTTCACATCTCTTTATAGTAGTTAATCAGTGGGAGGAGCTAAACATGTGGTTACAGGAACACTTATTTGTCTTTTTCCCTCTTCCCCTATCCTGCAGGTCCCAAGGGAAGAAGGAGGAAGCTGTGATCTTACTGCGGGACTCCATTAAGTACGGCCCTGAGTTTGCAGACGCGTACTCAAGCCTGGCCTCGCTGCTGGCCGAGCAGGTACCAGGCATCACTCCAGTTCTCCTGCCTACTACATGGGTGTACATGCTGCTGCTGCACCGCAACACCTCCCACGCGTCCCGGCGGAGCACCCTCGCCTCGCGCACGTGCCAGGCAGGCGTGTGTCCGCGACGGTCCGCGGAGAGCTCTTGGGCTGCTGTAGAGGTGGCTTTTTCAGAATAGGAGGCAACTCGTTTGCAGTGAGTAATTACACCCACGTGACGTGGCTCTGAATTAAATCATTGTCAAAGTGGTGTGTAAATACCGTCCCTGCAACTCCCTGCGTCTATGGAGAAGTCTTAATCCGTCACACCTTGAATGAATGCTGTGATAGGAGAAGAGGCGAGTGCTTCCCACTCAGACACACACGCCTACGTAGAGAACCTTGAGATTTTATAATAAATCGCTCTCGAGCTAGGAAATGTCAAAAACCAGGTGCCTCTGCAGCCTGGATTCTGTCCCTTGCATGCACACGTCGGGATACGGCCCGTAATTATAATGGTAGATGATCATGTATAGGAGGTGGAAAGGCTCGCTAGCTTTATGTTGCTCCTAATGAGCAGCTGTTCGATATTTCATTTAACCTCGTTGTTCAATATGTGCCCTCAGGCCTTATTTACTGCGCGTGGCCAGGCTGGGCTCTGCAGGCAGGATTACTCATTTCCTCTCGGGCTTGTTCCCCGTGCTCATTACTCGGGGCTCTCCCTACGCTCTATAGTTAGGTAAGTTATTTTTACAAGGTCCTTGTGAGGTGAAATTTTGTCCCCGCGGAGGAAAAGGGAAATTGAGGCGCAAAACGCTGGAGTTCAGAAGAAGCCCTGAAGCGTGGGTGCCCACATCAAGAGCACCAAGACCTGCTTTTCTCCAAGCCTGCAGCAGCAGCTGAGGGACGCTTCGGGCGTTGCTCCCACGGACTGCGGCCGCAAGCAGCTCTCTTAAAAGGTTGCCAAATGCAAACACAGACAGGCAAAGGAGATCATCTTTCACTGTTTTCCATTAATCTGGTTAGTGAAATCTTCTCTCTGTAAGGGAAGTGGATAAATTTCCGCAAAACTATAAGCAAAGGTCTTGTTCTGATTTAGGCTTCTTTAAGGATGTAGGCACTCTGCAAAATTCACCTGTGATATGTGTGTGCTATTTTATTTTCCCTTTTAAGTGACTTTGAAATATTTGAATGTTATCAGTATCAGTTGCAGGGACCTAGAAATACGGGGTATGAATTGAAAGAACGTTATTGAATGGGAACTGTATTTTGAATAAGCCCATCAATGAAGAGTCTCCTGCAAGTATAGGAAATGAGTCCTCTGCAGTAACACCTGGTTTTAATATTAATTGAAATTATTAATTAGAACCATCGATTGTAAGGTCAACAGAGCAGTAAAACCATTGCAGAGTCCCGAGGCCTTCTGCCTAAAGCAAATGCCGTTAGTAAGTCCAGCAGTAATTTATCTACTTTTATGCGTAGATTGTTCATCCTCTTGTGACTTGAGTAAGTGGTAAGGAAAAAAGATAGTACAATTTCCGCAGAAAATAGCCATTTCCTGCAGGCTTTTAACACCTTCTCATGTTCAGCCACAGGCGATGACTACCTGGTCGTGCAGCTCCTGCCTCACACACTCATCTTAGTGACCACGGTAGAGGCTGTCCTACAAATACGTGCCGCTGCCTGTGGCTGTGGGCTGCAGAATCACCCCCTAATGCTGTGCGCATCCTGGAAGGGTACGGGCAGAAGTTTTGGATCTTTAGCACAAAGCATGATGACAGGACCCCGTTTTTTGCTTTGTCCAAGCAATAGTTTCCAAAATGGCTGAAAGTTAAAAAACCTAATTTTTTTTCCTGCTTGTAGCCCAGAGTTTGTCTCGCAGCTGTTGGGGTGTCTGTGATGCTAGGCAGTATGCAGTGGGCTGCATGGACAGCATTGCTGTGGAGCTTTGGAAAAGGGAAAACAGCCTGGTTCCCTCTTACTGGGATGTGATAGAAAGGGGCTGAAGTGCCATAAGTGGCATGTTAAAATAACTCGCATGAGGTGACCGTGCCCATGACAAACTGCTGCTCCTCCAGCTTTGCACTAAGGCTAAGAAGAGGAGAAATGGTTGAATGTGGCTCAGTGGAATAGAGCTGGGATTGCCTTGTCAGTCCCACACAGCATGTTCCTCACTATCTTAAGGGCGATGAGTCCGAAATGGGGCTTATGGGTCCTTTCCTGGCACAGCTCCTCAGAGGAATGTCTCATGCGACAGGGAATTAGCCTGTAACTCAATGTAATTGCCCTTTTCTCTCCTTGAGAGTTGACTCTGAATCCAGAGCTGACGTGGGAAAAAAACCCGCCACATTGTAGAAAACAGTTTGACTTGCTTGCACCTTTTATACATGCTTGCCCTTCTTACTGCTCTTTCTGCTTGATATCGTAACTCAGTCACAATGAATTGTTGTTTTCCATGATCACTGCAGTGGTGCTAATATCACAAGTCAAACAGGTTGGTTTGCCATTTCCATGCTGCTCTTGTAGCGCTGCTCCCCAGGATTTACTCTGATGCACTGGAACAGCACCTTCTTCTCAGCTCTTTCAGTTTCAACAGCATCTCGTGCTACTCGATGGGTCTTTTCAGTTTTTGGATTCAAATGATTTCGTGTATGTGTGTGTAATAATATCAGCCTAAACTAAGAAAAGGAAACTTTTTAACCCACTTAGCTGTAGAGGAGAGCCTACTCAGGCATAACCAGACAGAAACAGCCATAAAAAAACAGACTTAAAAACCCTGCAGTTCAACTGAGAGATCCTCGCATGCATAATTTCTTAAATATCATAAAAATCTCATACATTTTTTAAGCCAATCTTCTGAATTTTGTGAGGTTGATGAATGTTTCATGAAGATCTGGGAGTGGCATTATTAAGTGTTAAAGAGAATCAAGCCTTGATGAACTTACGGCATTTCTCCCAAGAAGAGGAGAGGCTGTGAGGGAGAAAGCTCTGGCACAAAAAGCTGGGCCCACCCTTCCCAGTTTCTGACTGGGCTTAATGCAGAGAGTTTGTTAGAGAAATCATCCCAGGCTCTGCATGGAGCCTGAGGCATGCAGGGTCAGGGTGTTAGGTGCCAAAAAAGCAATGCAACCAAGATAACAGTGCTAAAAGTGCTCAGTATCAGTGAGAGTGAATGTTTCGATGTGAGACACTGCTAGTCTAGTTTAACACAACTCTTCTATGCTTTAAAGATCAAGTTTATGATCAGTAAATAAAATTAAGAAAACTGACTAATATGCACACAAAGCCGCATTCCTTGGCTGAAAATTAAAATCAGAGGACAAGAAATTAATACAGAAAGATTTGAAAATATGTTTATTAATGTCTCAGTGACACAGATGCTGTTTCAAGAAATTGCTCTTCATTTTAGTCAATTCTGACAATAGCTACACTTTTCCTGATCCTGCAGGATGATGATATCAAATTCACATAAATATATCCAAAATGTCCAAACTTAAGCAGTTTTAAAAAAATGTGTTTCTATGTTTTATCACACGATATCTTTTCTGCTGACTGACCTTTATCATATAAATGTGAAAGCACTTAACCATAGCAAACCATGTGCTTTCATCAAGTCATACTTTTCCAATGCGATTAAGTCCAGCTCTCCAGTTCTGAAGAAGGAGGTGAGAAAGGAGTCCACACATTTAAGCAGCTACAGAGCAAAAGCTGCCATCGGGTGCACCCTTTAAATGCAGACAAAGCCCCGTAGGCTCTGGGATTTGCAGAACTTGAGGAGAGTCTACAGCTGGATATGGACCTACCTCTTATTTCAACATGGATTCAGCTCCTGGGCAGGAGGTCTGCCTTGGTGGCTCCAGGCCTTCCTTGGCGGAGACTCAGATGGCTGATTTTACTTGGTAGCATCATCAGGAGGCTGTGGAGTTTGTTGCTGTAGGGCTGTGCTGCTCCACAGAAGGGGAAGAATTGAAAAAAGCATCTTTGGTGCTGGAGGCTCGCCTGACACCCCTCTGCACCATACTTGTCTCTGCTGTTCATGGCCTCCTTCCATGAATGTACCCAACAGCAAAGCTCTGAGGTTAGGGAGGGGAGGAAGACTGTGATAACCTGTACTAGCGAGCATGCAGGTAGCGGGCATACACTGGCTGGCTGGAGGGAAGTGGAAAACTTACTGAGTTGCTATTTGATCCAAACAAGACACCTTATTTTCCTTTCAGGACCGGGTTGCCCATAGCTTAGGCTAGACAGAGCCCAGCCAGTGGGACGCTTTCTGTAGGCAGGGTGTTCCTATAAAAAAAATCTGTATTTTCCAGAAATGCTCAGCACTGACAAATCTCCTTGAAATCTATGGAAAATGTAAGGCCTCAGCGCGCCCGGGAATCAGTGTGGTAGCACATCCCATCAATCCCAGTGAGCTACGTCTCATGCTTGGCAATGCCTGGTTTTAATCTGAATCTGTCAGGTCTTCCTCACTCTCTCATTGTCCCCCATCCTCCTCCAGCTTCCCTCATCCCACTGCACAACCTCCTCATCCCGCAGCCATCGCACACGCCAAGCTTTTGTTCCTTGTATTTTCCCCGCTGCTGAGGGAACAAACAGAAGAGCTCCGGAGGGGAAAAGTTAGCCAGTGAGATGCTCATTAAGCAAATAAATTAAGCTGTATCAGCTCCCAAATGACAGACAGTTCTCAACAGCACCAACACAACCCTTGTCGCTGTGCGTTTCCTGACTGGGTGCATGCCCAGCTGGGGCTTACTGACATTGCACAGGAGCCACCTTTTCCAGCTGTTATTTTTGTTTCACAGGTAGTTCCAATTGAAAATGCAGGGGGGGAAAGCTGTCTGACCCGCTCTGGGGTACCAGACGGCAGCTGTATCGCATCCATGCCATGGGGTAAAATTTTGGCCTCCTAGAAGGTGGGGTGGGCTGGCGCCCCGAGCTGCCCGTGCAGCGAGGGAGTTGTCACAAAATGAAGGTATGCGGCAAATGGTGCTGACACCCTTTCTGCCACAGCTGAGAAATCTCCTTCTCTTTTAAGGAACGGCTTAAGGAAGCGGAGGAGGTCTATAAGGCTGGCATAGAGAATTGTCCAGAGAGCTCCGATCTGCATAACAACTACGGTGTTTTCTTGGTTGATACCGGTAAGTGAGAAGGAATGAGGGATTTTCCCTCTCTGCCTTACTTCCTTTCATTTGTTTTATTCAGCAGTAAGTATCTGAAAGGGTGTCAAAAGCTTCCAAAGCAATAGATGTGCCTCCGCTGTAGCTTGGAAATAAATATCCCCGCACTGCTGAGATGGCACAGCGCGCTGAAATTTGTAATCAATGCAGGCGCTGTGCGGCAGTGGCATGCAGCCCGGCCCCTTCCTTCAGTGTTTCTCACCATCTTTGCACAGGCATTTGTCCTCTTCAGTTTGAGCTGGGCAGCACCCTGACAATACTGCTATTTCTCCAGGAAAGCGTGGCCACATCAAACCAGATTCCAGGCACACAAGTGGATCATTATGGTCTTCGGAGCACTTGCAGCTCTAGTTGGTGACAAAGCAGCTCTTTGACTGTAAAGGTTGAGTGCCACTGCTATAAAAACAAACATGGCTTTTAAACCACAATCGTCTGTGAAAACAAAACCTAAGATACTATGGGGTGAATTGATTTCTCAGAAGCTCCATAATGACATTCAAAGCCTTTCTTTTCTGGGCTCCTGGTTCCCATCCAGCTTCCCTGGACTAAGGCACTTCCTGGCATCCACATAACAACATAAAAAAAAATGCCACCTTAATTGCTGCCTTTTATTGACAGCTTTATAAGCAAGGCCAAGTTTGACAAATGACTAGTGGAAACAGAACTACTGTCTCACTCCGGTCCCTCCAGAACAGAGCTGAGACTCAATGATGAAATATTGTAGGCTTAAAGTGTGTGGTTGCTACCCATTGTGCCCCTTTCACGCTGTGCCTGGCTCCAGTGGTGCTTGGGAAGAAAGAGCGATGGTGTCCATCAGTCTGCAGCTGGCTGTCCTACCTCTAAGCTGACGCTCAGCCATCACTTTTATGTAGTACTAGCATGAAATAAATACCAAGCCAAAATGAGAATTCATAGTCAAAAAAGGGATCATAGCGTTAGCAACAGAGGTTGAGGTTCTGAGTTTGTGCCCTGACAAAATGTGAACTTGCAAATAATAACAATTCCTCAGTAATTTCACTCTGACATTGTACCCATCTTTGCTTCCCAACCCAGATAAGTTGCCCAGTTCCTGCCAAAATTCGTGGTTCAAACGCAGTGCAGTGCACTTTCTGTTTTTTCCACTTGTGTATTCTGCCAAAGTCAAAACTAATTTTTCCTGGTTTATTCCTACACTTCCCGACACATAAACAACAGGAAAAAGAAAAACCACTGACTTTTGATACTTCAGGCATGATGTGTAAATAACCCTCCTGGAGACATGACAAGGCGTGAAGGAAGCGGCTGGTAGCGAGCCCGTCACAGGCTGCGCTCTTCCCCGGCGGGTGCAGGGAAATGCTGTGAAGCACCACTCCGATTAACTTGCAGGATTTTGTGCAACAAGCCTCCAGCAAGTGTCAGCTCTGGGGACCCGTTAACTCTAGACAGCTCTGCAGTGGTTACAGACACTCAGCATGTCTCCCTTAACGATGCGCGTTACCCCCTGCACATTACCCCTGTGTGTTGAGGCTGACTTAATGGCCTGAGGTGCGTGCCCAGCTGCTTCCCAGGATGTTTCATAGATAGGATTTTGAAAAAGTCCTACCCTGAAAGATCTGTTGTTGACCTTGGGTGAATCTTAAGTGCTTCTAAATCTCCCTACAGACATCCCTCCTCTCTCCTGGAAAGGAAACACCAGGAAGTGTCAATGTTACTTTTACGTTGCATAGCTAGTCGCCGGAAAACCAAACTAGGTCTGAAAAGCTATGAAAATAAAATTCCCATGGCAGCGTATGTTCAGTGCCCCAGCACACAGAGGTTGTTTTCAAGTTCTGCTTTCCAGCCAGAAATGGAATTAAATACGTTGTGAAGTGATTCGGCTTAAAAATGCCAGTACTCAAAAGCTTTGTTGGTGGACAAAGCTCCATGAGTATCGGTTTTCATCAGGCAATTGGCTGGCCTAGGGTGTGCAAACCAATTAAACGAGCACCGGGGTTACAAATAGGATATTGGCACTGCTCAAATGCTGGAACTTTATACCGTGCCCCATTCATTTATTTAGCAGGTAGTCAGCAGGCCCTGCCTGAGGAAGGCACTGCAGGATCCTTCCTGAGGAAAGCCATGATTTAGCTAAATAAAGAGATACTAATAGAAGCGGAACTTTAGGCTTTTGGGCTGGCACCTTTCCTTTTGCGTGGCGGTGTATTTTGTTGTGGTGTTCGGTGGTGTCACCCACTGCGGGACCTTGCGCCGGCAGAGGTTTTCGCGCAGCGAAGCAGTGCCACCCGATGGCTCCTCTGCAATACAGGAACAGTGCCTACCTGCTCCGAAATAGGCACCTGGGCACCTCTGGTCTGGGATTTGTTGCCCCGAGGTGGGAATTAGCTGGTCACAGGCAGCTACTTGCAGTCCTGTTGACTGAGCAGGGCCAGCACAACAGAGGTGGAAGGAAGAGTCTCTGTTTGGAAAGAGCCAAAAATATTTGCAGTTCTGGTGAGGTTGTGGGGAATACTGGGTGAGTTGTTCCCTGTGTCTCCATTGCCCATCTCTCCAGTGGGCCAGGGTGGAAGGATGCTCTCCCAGGAGGTGGGACACATGTCCCAGCCTCCCTTCTGGGGTGGGCTCTGTCCTTAGCACGGTGGGTGCATCCTCCCCTGCAGCATGATAGGAGAGTGCTTTCAGGCAGCAATCTTCTTCTGGTGACTGTACCCTCGACTTGCAAAAACCCACCCCGAGAAAAAATCTGTTTCTCAGCATCATCTCTGGATACTGGAGCTTAAATCTTAATCCGGACAGCAATTTTTTTAATCTTTAGAAAGGCTGCAGCAGGATTTCTTTCTCAAAATGGTTCCTATGCACCGAGCAATAGCTGAAAGAAACCCCAGACAGAGCATGACTGCCTGCTGAATTTGCAACAGGATTTTTCTGAGGCACCAGTTTAACAGTTGTTCTCCTCTCTAGGGGCTCCTGAGCAAGCCGTGTCCCACTACAGGCAGGCCATCCACCTGAGCCCCACTCACCACGTGGCCATGGTGAACCTGGGCAGGCTTCACCGCTCCCTGGGGCAAAACAAAGAGGCTGAAGCGTGGTACAAGCGGTAAGAATTCGGGATGGGAGACAGAGGTTTCCCTCCTCCCCCTGAACAGCTTGTCTCTGCTAAAGAGCCTCTGATACCTGAATCTGTCAGGATATGTTTGGGTTTCCTCCCCTTCCTTCTCCATCTTTTTGAAATCAGATTTACCTTTGCTTATTTGGCTATTTTTCAGGAGTGCTTGGACAGGCGTCACAGTCCTAGACAGTGTTGACTTCCCTGGACTGTTCCCAAGCACTCAAGATGGACACACTGCTGCTTTTGGCTGGGGGATGCTCTAACAATAAAGTCAGAGGTTTCTCAGTGGCATGAGCAAGTTGTTAGCACAACTCCCACCTTACTCAAAGCTGGTCTGTGGGTGGCCTGTTGTGGTTTAGCCCAGCCGGCAACTAAAGGCCACACAGCCACTCTCTCACCCTTCCTCACCCCCAGGGGATGGGGAAGAGAATTCAAAAGGAAAAGGGAAGGCGGCTCGTGGGTTGAGATAAGAACAATTTAATAATAATAATAATAACAACAGTAACATATGAATATATATATGTATAATGATAATAATATATACAAACAAATGATGCACAGTGTAATTGCTCACCACCCAGTGACCAAAGCCCGTCCCATCCGGCTAATGATCCCAAACCAAAGTCCTGACATTGCAATCCCAGATGAGCGAGAGGCCCAAAAAGAAAGCAAGAAAGAGACAGCACTCCGAGAGAGCCCTTGGAAGAACAAAGAGTTTCTTCTTGATCGACCCTCATCGATATACTGGGCATGATGTTGCGTGATGTAGAATATGCTTCATTGGCTAATTTGGCCCTCAGTCCTAAGTCTAAGTTCAAATCGTAAGGGGAGTTGTGGACCCTCTGTCCCGGCCGTGTTCCCCCCCAGCCTGTTGTGCTCCTAGCAAAACATGAGAAGCTGAAAAGTCCTTGATGTCTAACTAACTCTGTCCCAGTCAAAATGAGGACAGTAACAGCCATAAGTGCTGCACAGCCCAGCACTAAAACCTTGGCACCATCAAGAACTCCAGCCCTTCCCTGCAATGTGCCAGTAGGCAGCCTCTAACTGCCAGTATGCAGCAGGGTGGACTGGAGGGTGGTTTTTTGCCTCCTTCTTGGCATCCAGATTTGTGCTCACACTCCTTGGGTTCTGCCACCATCAGCCATCCCCACCTTGCTGCAGGCTCACGTGCGCTTTGGAGGTAGCTCTCTCCCCTTCTTACGTAGTCAGAGGGATTGTTGCTGTGAGCACACTCATCCCTCCCTGGCACCTTAAATTTGTGCTTCCCAGGTTGGGATGAGCAGGGCGCAGAGCTTCGCTGCTCCATCCCAGCACAAGCCGCACCTCACTCTTCCGCTTTGATCCCTGCACCACCTGGAGGCATCTCTTTTTCCCAAATTCCAGGGCACTGAAGGTATCCCGGAAGGCTGAAAGCCTGTCCCCGCTGGGGGCTCTCTATTACAACACGGGGAGGTATGAAGAAGCGTTGCAGGTCTACAGAGAAGTGGCATCACTGCAGCCTTCCAACAAAGAGACGCGACTGGCGCTGGTGAGCGTGGGGCGAGCTCAGCCAGGGCAGGGTCACGAAAGTGGGGCCTCAGCCGCTGGGCGCAGCATCGGGTGTTAAGGAGCTTTTTTAAGATCGTTAACCCTTTGTAATGTGGCTCTGCAGGCTCAGGTTCTAGCCATGATGGGGCGGACGAAGGAAGCCGAAAAGATGACGAACCATATACTCAACGAGGATGCGGAGTGTCTGGAGTGCTACCGCCTTCTGTCAGCCATCCACAGCAAGCAGGAGCACTATGCCAAGGTACCAAGGTCACAGGGTAGCCTTGTCCCGAGGGCTCACACAGAGAGCTCCGGTTGAATTTTACACTCCGTTTCTCCAGAGACATGTCACAGGCCTTAGTGCACATCCAGTAGGTGAATTTTTTCACTAAAACCTTCTGTTTGTCTAGGTACTGGGACTGAAACTAAGCAGTGCGGTTTTCTTACCACTTACTGCTCCTGCTGCTGTCAGACCCACTGTACATCAGCCACAGGCATCTAAAAAGCTCATTTCCACATGTGTTAACAGTGTGGAGCAAACAAGGGAAGGGGGAAGATGACTCTTATGCTGGGAGGCCCTAGTGGTGAGGAGAGCATTAGAAGCAGAAAGGCGCAGAATACAGTAACACAATGTCGTCTTGCTTCTACACAGGCACTTGAAGCTATAGAGAAAGCTCTTCAGCTAAAACCAAAGGATCCAAAAGTCATATCAGAGCTCTTCTTCACTAAAGGAAACCAGCTAAGAGAACAGAATCTCCTTGACAAGGCTTTTGAGGTATGACTGCTCTGAGCCCTACAGATAGTTTTGTGGGTTAAAAGATAGAGTTAGCTCGTTGCATCTAATACTCCCTGGTGTGTGCATCCTGGCTGTTGACCTTGGGAGCTCAGCCATTCTCCAGTGGTACAGCTAAAGCTATGGGACAGCTAAATTTGGCAGACTTAGTTGCAACTTTTTTCCTCATTCCTGTATGGGAATGCAACTCCCTGCTCTGAGAGGTTAAGTCCAGAGTCGTGGTGGGATTATGGAGGAACCTAGGCCTTTTCTCATTGACCTGGGCCTTGGTCTATCCAGCCTCAGCCCCTCTTGCTGGTGATGGCCAACTCCATGTGGCTCAGCTGGAAGCTTGGGCACCTGTGAGAGTCCACCATGTTGTCATACCTCACCTCATTACCTAATAGCTGACAGATTGGCTTATCCAGTGGAGCAGGAGGCTTGATAGCTCAGAAATTTTGTTAGCATTAAATGATATGACAGAATATTGTTATTGGGACAGTTCTGAATATGCTCAATATCCCTAGAGATGTTTAATCCTGATTTGAATCCTTTCCTATTGTGGCATGATAAAAACGATAGTTATTTGAGAGTCCAGAAGGTCCTTGTTGCTTCTTCTCCAATGCACGGTAGCAGAAGCAGTGGGGAGGGATAGCATTGCCCTCAGGTCCTTGTGAAACCTCCACACAGGTGGCTGTACCGTAGTCTGCTGCCAGCTCCAAATTAAAGCTTTGCAGATAAGGAGCATAACAGCCCACACATGGCTTGTGGGTGGCAAGGACCTGCCCATGGAAATGACCCTGACGTGCAGGAGACCCCAGTGGTGCGGAGTGGCAGGGAGAGGGTCACAGGGGTTAGCATGGCTCCTCGTGTAGCACCATGGGCAGGGAAAACCTGTGAGATGAGCTCAGCAGTGAAGCGGTACGTTATGTCACCTCTGCTGTAAAAAAAATGAAATTCAGCTTATGCATTGTATATGAAAAGAATTTAAAATTGTATTTTAAATGGATTCAGAGGGAGAGGAAACTTAGTTTCCCTTTCCCCTCCAGCAGTGCTTTTGTTTGAAGACTCGGGCTCTTAACCTAAAAATGTTTCATATTTATGTAGAGCTATAAACGGGCTGTGGAGCTCAACCCAGACCAAGCGCAGGCCTGGATGAATATGGGAGGCATTGAGCACATCAAGGTATGACAATTTTGCTTTTCCTTAAGCTGTCAACTGCAGAGGCTCCTGCTCAGGGCAGAAAGCTAAATTTGTTTCACACTGCCAAGAGCTGTATGTTTGTGAACAGTGAGTGTTCCCGACATATTTTATCCAAAAAGGAGGAAAGTCTGTTCACCCCAGCTAGAGTTTTCCAACCAGGTTGCTTGGGAATATGTATCCTGTAATGCAAATCTCATATTTGTAAGGGGGCGGGCTGCAAGGAGCAACCTGCCCATCTCTAAAGTTTTTCTGCTTCAGTTGTTGACCTACCTTAGAAAAATGTCACTGTGAGTTGACTTTTAAGATTCTTCTCTACCTAATTAATTTAATAAAGATGTCTAATGCAGAATACTGGAATGAAATTATGGAAATAGCCCACCCTCTGGTTGCTTATGTTTTTGAATACTTTAGCATATCATTATTATTTAGATCTTAAGGAGTCACATTGTGTGATATCCTCAAGCTGTCCTATCGCTGAGTAAAATTAACTCTTCTGGTACAACATAATGGAAAAATCTACTTCTTGCCATGTGTGTTTGATCAAATTTAGGCTAACAGCACTTGGTGATCCGTTTCATAATGAAGAAGTATTCCCATTACCTAACAATATCAAGTTTTAGAAACTCCTTTTCCTTTGTGTTACGGTCTTCACCAGTCCCAAGGAATGAACTTTCTATGTCAGGGAACATGCATGAGATCTGTCACTCGTTTACTTTGTAGGGGAGCTACGTCGCTGCCCGTGGCTACTATGAGAAAGCCTTACAGCTGGTTCCAAACAGCAAGTTGCTGAAGGAGAATCTGGCCAAACTGGATCGCTTGGAGAAACGGTTTCAGGAAGTCCAGGAGAAAGACCAAACTTAGCATTCAGTGACCAGTGGAAAGAAACTCATGCCCCTTGGAGAAGTGTATGGTGAAAGCCTATTGCTCAAAGTGATGCTGAAGGAACTTTCATAGGACTCAGAATTATGGACGGCAAATTTTGAATGCATGCTTATGTTTGACCAAAGTTACAGGAGACACTTGGCTCCTGTGGGACGTGCTGGAGAGTGAATGAAAACCTTCCTTTAATCAAGATTGATGTTTAGGCTGAACCCATTTTAATCACACCAGGAGTGTGGGTGGGAGATGTACCTTCAATATCTTGGTTATCACTGGGGAAACCATGGAGACAAAGCACTCATCCATTGCAGCAGGGGTGAAGTAGCACCTCCTGTTACTCAACACAGGCTCACCTCGTCCACATAAAGTACCACTGATGGGCTTCATTGCAAGTGCTGCCGGGTCCTTCTGAGCCAGGAAAGATGGTCATAATGGTCACACAAAAAGGTTTCAAGGGGTTAATACTGAGGAAATGGTGGCCACTTTTACAGCTCTAAATGTGACTTGAAAATTATTCTGAAGAAAGGGAAAACGATATCTGAATATCACCCTAGAAGGACGATTCTACAAGTAGGACAAATGATCCTTTGAGGGAAAACCTTACCTGAATGTTTTACTCATAAGATAGTAATTTTGTAGTAATTCAGGTTCATGATGTCAGTATCGTCAAATATCATATGGCTTTATCCTTTGCCTTCCCCCTCCAGGCCAAATAATTATTACTCTGAAAAAAATGAAAGCATCCAAAGGCAATGGGAAGCTCTAGGATTACTTGCCCTCCTGTCCAGTCCCCAGTGAAAAAAAAACACACAACCAGTCTGGTCAGTATAGGAGGTAAAGTAAAGCCACAGAGAGATTAGGGAAGATTTCCTAGCCTGGAAAGGTACTAAGGAGGCTTTTTTATGGGTGTGCAGGAACAAAGCCCATTTTTCATGGTGATAACACTGACAAAACACTTTGTCAAAGTGTTCTCATGCCTGCCCCCAAAAGATACAGAAAATGACCTATAGCTGATCAGTCATAAATCTATATTTTTAAATACTGAAGTAGGAAAACAAATTCTCTTCAGAATTGGGGCTTTTATTTTTGAGCTTTATTTATTTAACTTATAATAATCAAATAATTAATATATTTTCTGTGTTTTATACAAATTGGGCAGTATCCTTCACAGCTGGCCACGTGGCTGGGCGTCGTGACTTGTGTTGTCTGAACTTAGAAAAATGAAGTACCACGGAGGCGTGCTTCAATAACTCCCCCTAATGATGTTTCTAAAGCAAAGGGCTGTGGAGCACATTGGACCCTACTCTCACTGCAGTAACAGCACTTCTGCTGCTTCCACCATGGTTTGTACCAGTTCACAGAGAGCATTGGTGAGGTCGTGCTTGGTGCCACTGCCTTTGGGTTTTGACATCAGGGTAGGTCAGTGGTTTGTTCCTCTTGCAGCGGGAAGCCATAAAAGTTAGTATATTTGAGCTTGATTGTGGCCAGTCCCTGAAGAAGAGCAGGCCAGGGTTTGGCATTATTAGTAAAGAACAGGTTAGATTAGGTATGTGATGCCCTGATATACATCTGTCAGGAAAAGCCTGTGTGACAGTGACCCACATGGCACCCAGGCTTAGTTGGTGCTGGCCCTGGCACCTCAGCAAGCTCCGCATTCCCTCAGTGATGGGACAGCTGTGTGCCGTTGGCTCCGCTGGCTTCATTTAAAAAGCTCAGTGTCTAGCTGCTACTGGTGGTCAAATTACTGACAAATTATTAACGTGACTCCAACTGCATGTGGAGCTCAGAAAGAGTCCAGGCTGGCATGATTGTCTGCCCTGCCAGGGCTTGCAGACCCACTGGAGCCATGGCTGTGTGCCCACCGAGACGAGGCTGGACTTGAGAGGTGCCAGTCCCCACTGGCCAAGGAGACTGGCCAGTGCCTACAGCATTGCAGAGGCCGGCTCCTAAGGTTGATGGGAAGGAGGGACCATTGCAGGCAGAAGGTGGTGACGCATTTCTAGGCTCTCTCGCTTCACACCAGCTTCATTAATCCCAAGGAAGCAGCTGGGACCAAGACCAAGCAAGTCTTTTCACTGGTGAATTTTCCCTTCTCCCCCAAGCCCAAGCAGCCTACTTTCGAAAGGAAAGGGGCCAAGGGTTGGTTTGGGGGCCTTGGGTCAGCAGCCCTTGTCTTGTCACACAAGTTTTATGGCCATGGACTTGCTGACCTGATGTTTCTGCAGGTTCCCAGTGCAGGCGCTCTGCTGGATGCCGTGCATGGGATAGCTTTGCACAGCCTTGGCGCTGCCAGGGTAGCTGGAAGGAGATGGGTTTGCACCAGCAGAGTCCCGTGGGATGGGGAAATCAAAGCTTCCGAGAGAAGTCAGTTCCCACCACGCACTGCAAAGTTGTCGATGGTTCATTATCGGGGTATTCAGAGGTACCTGGACCATGAAGCTCTCTGCCTCTCCCCAGGGTGAGCCTGCTTTCAGGGAACCTTCACCAAAACCCTGTGTGCCCAGGCTGGCTGGCTGTGGTACCGCTGTGTGGAGGCAAGATTGAGGGCTGGAAGATAGATGTTTGGTGTAGCCCCCGACAACGATGCCATGCAAAGCGCCTCGTGGAGGAGGCATCTGCAGAGTGCTCCGATAACTAGCTGAAAGGTGGGAGATAGGGCTGAGGGGAGATACGTCTCATTTGAAAATGTGTATCAGCTATAAACTTTGTCTCATAAAGATATATTAAATAAATACAATATATTCTACAAGCCTCACAGCAGTGTGGCTTTAAATTATGGCCAATGAAACATATTTTTTCAAATATAAAAGAAGTTGTATTTTTTATAGCAATGCTTTGTGAGGGGGATGACTTGGTTTTGTGTTTTTAACTTTGGCTTAAAGCTTAGTTTGTCTTTCCTGAGAGACCTGGTAGAAATGATTGTCTCGTTCCGGTCCTAGAACCTGATCAAAGTCAACTTGACCTCCTACCAGTGCACATGTAAAGTAGAATATAGCTTTGGGTGTCCCCTCCCAGATCCTGAAAAAGGATTACTGTTTTTACAACACTGTCTTACTTGCAGAATAACATAGAAAGGTAAGACCGTCCTCCCAGTGAAGGAGGTGGTTTGGTTGGAAGGCATGGCGCATGTTCATCCACTCGCCTGAATTAGGCGGGTAACATATCCACGGAATTTAATCCCAGCTGAACTGGATTGTGTTTATATGCCAAAAGGCCGACTCCCCACATTTTGGAGCTGGGTTTATGGTAGTTACGGAGAGAGGAGGGCTCAGTCATGAGCCCCGCTTTCCCCAACTGGCACTTTATACCCCATCTATGCAGGATGACGGTCTGCAAACTGGCAGCGTTATTTGGAGGATGATTCAGACTCTGAGCTACCAAAGCAGTTAAACCCTTGTGAAGTTTTGAGCTGACTCCCTGTCTCGTTGGCATCCGTGCTGAAACGCTGTGTTTGTTCAGGACATTAATCTTGTGAAAGGTTTATTGCAGGCAAAGAAGAAGAATGGAGTGTGATAGGAAATGGGTTACCTCCACCAAAATGGAATGCTATTGCGGAAGATAAATAGAGCGACTTACCTTGTCATAAACTGGATATTATCCTAATTAATCATAGGAAATCTCCTCTTCCTTTGGCATTGCACAGCTTCTAAAATAATGAGTTCTAAATACATTGTTTTCTGCCAACTCCAGTGCTCAGCGTGGTTAGCAGAGATTACAAATTAATATATGGCTGAAGCTCTACCTGGTGGGGGAGAGTTCGCCCTCTCTGCAAGTTGCATTGGTGAAACCTCAGTGCTCACCAGTATTAAAGTGGAGAATTAATGGAAAGCTGGTTAGACAGGACATTTGTGTACTCACTGTGCATTTTAATCCTAAATGAAAAACATAGTAATTGTATTGCTTTTTCCTTTCCCTATGAATAATACTTTCAGCTGATGGATTTTGGTTTATTTTATTGCTTATTTAAAGTCCAGCATTGTTTGCTTCCATTCCTTTTCCATCCCCCAGGATAAACGATGCAGTGGGGGTATTTTCTCTCTCTCATAGACTCCTTGGACTAGATTTTCCTATGAACGTGCAGGCAACTTGGTTTTGCCAAACAGTAAGTGAATGCAGCAGTGGAAATGGCCTTCATTACAGAGATCTCGATGAGGATGGGGTGGGTGTGCATGCATGCACATGGGTGGAAAAAGTCTAAGTCAAAAAAATCCAAAATAAAGAGCCTAAATTGCAGGAGAAATTATCTAAAAACTGTGAAAGCTTTTCAACAGTTATAGAAACCAGGCCAGATATGGGGTACAATATTTGGTGAAAGAAGATAATTGTCATTCTAATTTTAATAATTAGGCAATTTAGAGTATAGTTGTATGATCTTTTGCCCCACTTGTCCTCCAGCTCAGTGAAACAGTTGGTATATACTTAAGTCTCCTCAATCTGTATGTGATTAAGTTGACCAAGTGCTCAATTTCTATCTTTCATATATGCAATTATGCACAATCTTTGGAAAAAATTAGCCCTTAGAGGTTTTTTTTTTCCCCAACCTTCAGTCTCTTGCAGCTGTTTCAAAATGCACCGTTTTGCTTTCATGTACTTTCAAACCCAGCAGCAAAAAAAAAAAAAAAAAAAAAAAGTTAAAAAAAGCGCGCCTGGCATTCACTCGTATTTCAATGTGGCAAAGTTGCTTCAGGTAATCTCGGTAACTTTGTGCAAAAGTTCATTGTCATGTTTGCACTGACTTGCTGAAAAATTTTCATTCTGGAAAATACCCCCAGTGGTATCGTCTGTAAAGTTATGGCTTCTACAACTGTGTTAGCGTAGAAATCTCTGCCTGACGTGGATGTCACGCTGCGTGTTCCTCTCATGTGGGAGTTGTTTGCATTGCCTGTTGTTCATAAGGTTCTTATTTCTGTATCTGTTTTTTTTTTTTAAAAAAAACACACCAGTTGTGCACATCTTTTTTTAAAAAAAAAAAAAAACACACAAGTAAACAGCCCATGGATTAGAAATCTTTAAAAAAATAAATTCACACTTAGCAGCAGCTGGGTGTATGTCAGTGGTACAGGAATTTGCAAAGTCTTTGCTTTTTTCACTGTGGGGTTTATGGCTAGATTTCACGTAAAGGAGTTATGCTTGAAGTCCTTGCAAAAGAAAATGTATGTAAATGTCTATTTTATATAAAAAGTAAGAAAAGTAAGTGCCGTGTCATGTTGTTCTCTTGGCTACGGAGTCAGTCTGTTCCTTAGGACCAGCCATGAACAAGTTCTTCTGGAGATGGAAGGGCCAAAGTTTCTTGCTCCACTTGACTTAACGTTTTACTGCCGAAGGAGTCTCAGTTATTGGTCATGTAGGAGCAACTGTGCAGCACATGTGTTTGAGTCTGGCCATAAAAAAATATTGGAGCAGGCATTTTTGGAGCGCGAGCATGAGAAGGGATGAGGGCTGGTGCTTACACGGTCTTGATGATTGGACATGTTATACTGACATAAGCTCTTCGTGTCAGGCTTTATACATCTGTTGGGAATGCGTCAAGTCCGCAGAGTGCAAAGAGAAAAACAGAACAGAAATTAAAAATAAACTCATTTGGTTCTAATTCCCGGCTTCCTGGCAGACATTCCCAGAGGCTCCTGTGTGCTCCCAGGGCTTCATGATGGTGATAAACACCTCCATTAAAAACGGATCTGAAAGAGAATCAAAATCCCTGGACACAAGCCGTAGTGTTTCCTGCCATCTTGGTGTCTGCAAAGGCATGAAGGGGAACTGCACACTCACTTTGAAGTCAGCCCATACACCCTGAA